TGAAGCCAGTATTTATGAAGTGCATTGAAAGAGAAAAAGGGAATGCTGATGGAGACCAGGAGTGAGCCTCCCTTCATTCTCTGTTGGAAGTGTTAGTGGAAGTGGAGTTATCTCTTTAGGGTTAGACGTAATTATTTAATAGATTAACATGGACAAATATCCTCCCCTCCAAAAGGACAATCTATTTTGAAAATATTCTGCTTAATGCCATAAAATATTCTACTGTTGGGTTACATTCAGCTTTCTGCCTAATTTGAATGAAAGCCTCAACCTGATTTTTATTGGAGGGGATGTAGATGGCTATGACCATAACAGAAAATTTGAGTCAGTCCTGATTTGTAGCTTACAGTACAGAGGGTGCCCCATGACCCATCTGGTCAATCCCCAGGTCCTGCTGCCCCTGCCTCCTCATCACCGCTCACATCCTGATTCCCTCTACCGTTGTTCCAGATCTGGCTTCATCCCAGTTTGCCCAAATACTGTGGCAGCTTTCCCATAGTCTCCCCACTACACTGTGGCCACAGTGACCTCCTCCTCTCTCTTGCTCTGACAATCTGAACAGATTCCTGCTATACTTAAAGTTGGACTCACAGTGGGGTTGCCTCACACTGATGTCTCTGTGAGTTGTGAGGTGGGTCATAGGCCATGTATTACTGATAATAAAGCCCCAAAGATTCCAGTGAGGCATTTGTCTTAGCTCTGTGTCTAGAATACCTTCCCCCATTGCTCAGTCACTGGCTCTGATGTCTGGCAGACTCCTGTTCCTGAAGGTCTCAGCTCAGATGGGAATCCACAGTCTTGACTTCCCCAGCGAGTTCACACTCTTCTCCTAAAGCCTTGCTATGCTTTGTGTAGACTTCCACATAAGACTTGTCCTGTTTGATTGCAATTGTTTATTAAGCTCCTTGAAGATAGAGACCATGTCTTAGTTTTTTTTTACATGGTTAGTAAATAGCAACTTCTAGTACATTCTAGGCACACAGTGAACATTAATGGATGTTGAATAAATAGATTAGTACTACCACTGATATGGGGTAGAGATTCCCGTTAACTAGGTCAACATTTTTTTCTCCCATTCCTGCTATAGATGACAGCAGGGAAAAAGCTTTCTCCCTAATTATGTTATATAACACTGTCCCATAAAGTTTCTGCATTTTGAGAGCAAAGGCTGAAAGACTTTTTCCTTCATAAAATTAAAGATCTTGATTATTGGCAAAGAAATGATGCTAGATTCATTAGAAAGAGAGTGGTCTAGCAATTCTTTCTCTGTTTCTGTAACTAATTACAGATGAGTAATTTAAAAAAATTAGTATCCATAAAAATCAACTGCAAACCAATAAGGATGATGAGTTGAATCATAAAAATTCCATGCTATTTATATTTCCCCACACACACTCAGTGCATTTATTCTAAATGGAAAAGTACAAATATTGGGATAAAAACATTTAAACTACAGAAACAAGAAATTCCAAATGCTAATCCTGCCTAAAGGGCAGAATTTAATTCTGTGCTAAGCTACTGTATGTAGGATTAAGAGGCGTGGTTAACTGAACATTTGAGAACAAGTAATTACCACTGAGTCTATCATACATTTGTCTCACACATAATTTACACAATAAGCCCACAGTGGAGACTAATAAAAATGCTGTTTGAAACATTTTTTTCCAGCCACAAATTTTTCAGGCATCTCCCCCCCGGCCCCCCAATTAAAGATCATTTACTCCTATGGACTTAGGTTGGATGGCAGTGAGAGATTTTTTTTCTCTGATAGGTAGGGACAGAGAAATAACATTTCTAACTTGTTCTTCTTGGCTGTGTCCTTCCAGCCAGTCTTGGGCATCTGAATGTGGAAATGCATGGTCCCTGTAGTTGTTTTATGGAATACTTCAGAGTGGAGTGGACATGCAAAGGAACACTTTTATTTACCCACTTATTTGTTCATTCAACAAACACATATGCTCCCAGAATTGTGCTGGGTTCTCAGGATACCAGTGAACAAGACAGGTCCCCACCCTGACGAGTTCACAGTCTAGTAGCAGAGACTATTAAGCTAATAATTATAACATAGAACAAGGGGCACCTGGGTGGCTCAGTCAGTAAGCGTCCGATTTCGGCTCAGGTCATGATCTCACGGTTGGGGAGTTCGAGCCCCATGTTGGGCTCTGTGCTGACAGCTCGGAACCTGGAGCCTGCTTCAGCTTCTGTGTCTCCCTCTCTCTCTGACCCTCCCCTATTAGCACTCTGTCTCTCTGTCTCAAAAATAAACATTAAAACAATTTTATAATACAGAACAAGAAGCCAGGACATGTGGTACTCAGAGAGTTGCTGTGGCTCTGACACCTGTCTGGGATGGTTAGGGAGGGCTTCTAGCAAGAACTGCCATCCAAGTTGCATCTCAAATGATTTCTAGGGCCCAAACAGTTGAAAGAGGGGAGAAAAGTAGAAAATTCACAGCCCAGGGAAGAGCTGGCAGAGATGAGATTACAAGGGGATGTGGAAGAAGATAAGGCAGGATGGTGCTTACTGATGGAGTAGAGCAGATATCTGCAAAGATATGGGGTCTGAGACTCTAAAAGCAACTGCGTCTGTGGCCCTCCTTCCCCTCTCTCCTTGGGACACCTGCCAGAAAGAAGATAGCTGAAAGTTCAAATATATTTGAAAGAGACACTGAATTTTCGAGCAGCATCTTGGCTCGACTGATTCTGGCATTTGCTCTCATTTTAGCATTTTGCAGGAAACAGGGTGATATGTGCCATCAAAGCCATAACTTTCCAACTACAGCCCAGCTCTCTGGCTGTAATTCCGTATTTGGCAAGAGCGTGACCTGGGGCAAGGGATTTCAGCTCACTGTGCCTCAGTGCCTCACCTTTAGAACAATTTGCAGAAGGAAATGAGTGACTGTATATAAAGTACTCAGGACATAGCTTGGCACAAAACAAATGCCCAATAAGTATTAGCCATAATTATTGTACTCTACCCATGGGAAGTGCCGATGAAGCCAGTTATTTAAATAACCAGCACGTTATTTATAGGACTGGGCCCAGAAGTAAAGCTGTTGTTTAATGTCTTTGGCACTAAAAGGAGATTAGAAAAGTTAACCCTGTGAACACAAAGACTGAACTTTGGCTGCTTTTCAAAAGTTACAATGGAAGTTTCTGTTTATAACCATTCATTGAACATTCATTATCACCACACTTAGTGAAATGTGTTTACTGAATATCAGGCCTGGGCATACAAAGATACCTGAGTAGGTCTGAAAATCTGTTATTCATTCAATACATGCTTAGCAAGTATCCAGAAAGTGCAAATCACATTGAGGATAAAATGATGATTTGGACCTTCCAGCAGAAGGTGATACATGCTACAAAGAAGCAGAGACAGTAATAATGAAAACCTGCTGAATGCTTTCTTTATACCATGCTCTGTGCTAAGTGTCTTACTGGGATTATCTCTGAGTGCCTGGGAGCTGAGAGGATGGAATCATGGTTCTGAGCTGGGGGATCAGGAAAAACTTCATGGAGGTGGAAGTATTAGAACAGGATGTTGGGGGCGCCTGGGTGGCTCAGTCAGTTAAGTGTCTGACTCTTGATTTTGGCTGAGATCATTATCTCAGAGTCATGAGATCAAGACCCATGTCGGGTTCCATGCATGTGGAGCCTGATTGAGACTCTCTCTGGGGGGGGGGGGGGGGGGGGGGTCTCTCTCTCTCTCTCTCTCTCTCTCTCTAAAAAAAAAGGACTGGATCTTGGAAAATACTTCTGGAGTGTTATGCTTAACCCTGGTTTTACAACTGAACGGGTCCAATGGCTTTTTCTAAAGATGCTTTTTCATACAAAAGGTTATTTTAAAGGAAATAGCCAACAAAATGGGAAAGTTTCTACTAAAAACTTTCGTCTGGCTACAAAATAGAACTACTACCAACCTGAGTCCAGCTGTTGCTTAAAAAGTTAACAACTTCCCATTACATTCTCCAATGTGATAGCCCTGTTGCCTGCAATGCAATCCAATCCCATTTCTCCCTGAATGCTCCTTCTTTCCCACAAATCACTGGGACTCATGTTTGCAGCACACTCTGAAATCCTGTTCCCAATTATTGGTTGTGTAATTTATTGATAAAGCAAAGCCAAATATGAGTAAGAAGGAAAGCCTAATTAGAAATGAAGCACTCAATGTCCCAACAAGGAAAATTCCAGGGCTTCAAAAATAGAAAATCAGTGATGCATAGTTTGAGGGCTTTGTCACCAAAGAAATAATCCCAGTACTTAATAAACCAGAAAATGGATTAAACAGATGGGGCAAAGTTATCAGTGGCCGAGAATGGGCACCTACAGAGAAATAGAATGATTTAGAACCAAAATGACTCTGGTACACACTAAAGAATATCTATTTGGGTCCTGAAATGAACACGATAAAAAATCCGTATGAAAAGAAATATAAAATCAGCCATGAAGAGAGAACATAACAGGGTATGGGCTGATATAGAAATGCCAGAGCTACTTTAAAAAAAAAAAAAAAGATTGATTAGCCAATTCAAAGAGTTGATTTGTAGGACTTTTTTTTTCTTTAATTGAACTGACCTCTTGAGTGAATCAACAAAGATGGTAACTTTTAGTAGAGTGTGGATGCAGCTTCATTTTAATAATTTGCCCTTAAACAGAAAACCTTTTCTCACAACAGAAAAACCACCCCAACAGCACATGTGTCTGTATATTTTCTGCCTACACCTACCTGAACATGTTTCTAATCAGTTGACCACCTACATTAAGGCAACTCTTAGAGCCTGCATTTTGCTTTACAGGAGAAACAGCAGAGGCTCAGTATGTCTAAAAGTCTTTGAAAATTACAGGACTGAAATTATAGGACACTCAGTTTTGAGTGTTGGCGAGTTGCTGGATGGTCCTTCCCAGATCACTTAGCCTCCGTGTTTTCTAATTATTGTATTACACAACTAAAAGAATGATATTCACACATACAAACACACACACATGCACATCCCATACCCTTGAGCACGGAGAGACAACAGGCTGATCAGGAGGCTTCTACATCTGCAAGAAACAGAGAATGGGAGACAACAGGAAAACACAGTTTCTGAGTGACGGCAGAACAAGTTGCTATTAATGTCCCATCTTCCAACCACTGATGTGACCTAGGGGTCTTTCCCAGCCAGAGAATAATTTTAGGGAATGAGCTTCCTGGTGAGCTCACAGCTTAACACTGCTTGTATCACCATCTTGAGTCAGCAGTGGATAATGCTGTGCAGAATAAACTAATTTTAGTCATCTGTGGGATCCTTGTAAACGCTCCATAGTGACTTCAACAAGTCAGTGTGAACTTGCTATCTGTGCTTCATTTCCTGCTCTCAATAACCCACTAAGGGGTATTTTTAGATGATGACATCTTACAGGATTTGTCTAGGTGGGTTTCTTTGTTTTAGAGCTGGCAGCTGAAAATTCTGCCACAGATTCCAAAGTCAGGAGGCCTTCTGGTAAACGACCCAGGAAAGTGATTAACAAATATGGAAACAAAGAAGATGGAAATGTGTATCTTATACGTGCTACAGGAAAACAGTACTGCCCACCTTACTCTCATTGTAGCAACATGTTCCAGGAGCCTCAGCCCACAACTGCATGGAGGGAAGACAAGAGGAGAGAAAAATACTTATACTGAAGCTGATACAATTTCCTCCAGCTATCATACTATACATTTGGAATGTGAAATGATCCCTCAGCTTCTTAATCATCCCGTTCTGTACTGCACCTCTGGGCTCTGAGTCATATTTCATCGGCAGTCAATCATATGCTGAATATAGAACACCTCTAATTTGTTCAGCATCTCATGGGTCACTGAGAAAGAATAGAGCCTCAGGACAAACTCCGCTGGTCAGATCACTCAGGTCCAGGTATGTGAGCGCATCCTGTAACACTCACGAACTCGTATTTCATGGAAGAATTGTGTGTAAGATGTTGCACTAGGGTTTTGTGTTTCTGAGAAAGATGCTGGGTTTGGCTGTAATTATCAAGGAATGTGGAAACCAAGAGGGGCTGAGTTGGGTGAGGAGAGTTGTAGGCAAATCAACCCCCCAGGGGTTGCCGTGAACAGTCAGTCAGGCGGAAAGAATGTGAAGGGACCCAGTCATAGGTAAAAGATGTTTTTTGGGTTTGTCTTTTCATCCTTAGAAACCTTCAACCCTGGAACATTTGATATCAATTTGTCCCTGGTCTAAAAGGAGACTTAGACAACTTCAAAGGAAGTGTATGAGAGGCATAGGGAGGAGAGAGGGAGGGAGGTAGGGTGGAGGGAGAGGCAGAGTTGTAATTATTAATAGGGAAAAAGAAGGAAATGGTGTGTCCTGTAATTATTTGTGTAAGAAAGGCAGCTAAGAAGAGTTCCAGTGTAGAATTACCGGTTCTTGAATTCATTAAAAGTAACTCTGAGACTCTTGGATTTGGGGGGCCAAGACTTTGCTATAGGAAACTTCATTTAAATTCCTCTTTCCAAAGAAAACACACATCACACCAAGATATACAATCTATGTGTAGCTTCCTTGTGCTGGTGGAAACTCGGCCCCACTGACTGGTTCTTGTCTACCGAGAATCCCAGTGTCCTCATTTACCCCTCTAAAGGCGAGTCTGATGGGCTCCAGTTGAGCAAAGCCAGTCTTTCAGAGCAGAGACAGCTGCCGCTGTCTGGACCATCTGCTCCTGAAAGAGGCCTGTGCGGCGGCCTCTGTGAACCACGCGGGCAGCTCTTCCACAGGATCCTAAGAAACCAACCTTTTGAGGAACGTTGTGTTAAGGAATGTCTGGAATGTTTTTCGTCCTGAGAGTTCCCGGGAAGCCTATATGGTCCATGATGAAGAACGGGCAGAGCAGTATTACAACGTTCAGGAAGACCAGTTCAGATCAGAGGCAGATCAGGGGGGGAATCATTACGAGGAAGGATAAGACTGTCTCTTCTCAACCATTAAATGCAGTTTCAGAATTTCTCTCTGGATTCCAACTGCATCACACAGACCACCTACTATCGTTCCAGGCTAAAGTGACAGGGTAGGTGCTAAATAGGCTGTAAATTTTCAACGAAAAAAGTAGCGACTACCTGCAATTTGTTTTCATACTGGCCTTTAGCTTAGTGTGTGAATGTTGTTAAAATATCAGCATAACTGCACCTTTGACTTTACGTTATTAACGACAGTTATTCATAGAATCAGGAAGTCCTATTTCTAAATATGTTTTAAAAGTTTTAAATATATTTGAAGGTTTTAGAAATTCTATTTATAGGTAGGTGCCTGTATGCATGCATACACATACCCATATATGAAAATACATTTTGCCTTAATGCCTTGTTTTATTAGAACTGTAAACTTGCTAAGGCTGAAGACATTGCTTTAATAAAGATATTTAGCATTTAAAATCATATTTAGTGGGTAGGGTACCATGGTCATTTTTTTTTTTTTACTTTTTATTTTGAATTTTCTTCACCACAGGATTTCTCTGAAACTTTTTATGTGCATTCCACAATAAGAGATACATTTAAAATTTTCATTCAGTACACTCACATGTATATGTTTATATGGCATTTATATACACATATATGTGCAAATGTATATACATGTGTGTATGTATGTGTATGTGTATATGTCTATGTATGTGTATGTGTATATACATACACATATATACACACATACATATGTGTGTGTGTATCCATACACACGCACTCAACAAAATTTCACAAAACAAAACCTACCCTTACAAAGTGAATGCATTTCTGGTATTTTCTCTTCTATTCTATTTCTTAAGTTGTATAAAATATCAATCATGACTCATTTTATTCATTTCCCTACTCATTAATGGGTCATAACCTGGAGTTTGAGAAATACTATTTTACTTGGCCCTTCAAATAATTTCATAATTCTATTAAAGAAAATAAAATGTTGTAAGGCAATAATACAGGTATCAATTTGAGATGAATTAAGAAAATAAGTGAGTGCTAATAAAACGACTGTATCTTTAAGTTAATATGATCATTATCATGTTATATTTTGAAGCACATTACCTTTTTAAAAATGAGAATAGTATGCAATCCTTTCTTCTTTTTGAATAAGATTCTTTACAACCTTTCAAACTTAAAAATTAAGTTACCTCTTTTCTTTAGGCTTCTGACCCCTCCCTACTCCCCATTTTTTTTTTAAAAGAAAAGATAGGGGCGCCTGGGTGTCTCAGTCGGTTGAGCATCGACTTTGGCTCAGCTCATGATCTCACGGTTCGTGAGTTTGAGCCCCATGTCTGGCTCTGTGCTGACAGCTCAGAGCCTGGGGCCTGCTTCAGATTCTGTGTGTGTGTGTGTCTCTCTCTCTTTCTGCCCCTCCTCTACTTGCACTCATTCTCACTATAGCTCTCAAAAATAAGTAAAAATGTTAAAAAAAAGATAATGATATTTAATAGAATAAAAAAATAAAAGTAAGTCTAGCCTTTATTATAACAGATTTCTACTAGCTCATTTAGAATTATGAAAAGGACATATCCAGCATGAGGATAAATGCAGAGTATGGCTCTGAGCCCTTGAGGATTCTTTAGAATTGATCTATAAATTTGACTTTTGAAGACAAGAGCAGACATTAGTTACCCAAAAAGGATAATAATTAAAGAAATTTTGTGGTGACTATGTGTGAATATGGAGATTCTGTCTGTAGTGTGTTTGATGATTCCCTAATATGGAGGTCCGGTACTTGTCAATAAAACTGATGGACTGGTCAGAATCCAGTAAGCTGACAACACTGAAAAGACTGTATGTTTCCCTTTAACCTATCTGATTTGTAAATTGAGATTTTTGCATAATGTGAATTAAAATGGACCCTACTGGTACTTTTTCTTGATGCTGCCTATAGAGTCAACAAATTGGTGTTGAGAGAGAGGTATGTTAAAACCCCAAATACCACAAGGTGGATTCCCTGGACATTAAGACGGACAGACTCTTTTGATAAGAATGACCCTTTGACAATTACCTTACTGAATGGGACTTCTCATTAGTGGCAGGTGAGGTGGAAACACTATAAACTTCGTCCCCACCCAGAGCAGAGAATTATGACTACAGAGCTCTCAACATGCCTTTCCATCCTCCGTCCCCACCTGGCTTTCTTCACAGGGCCTCCCCTGATTTGCCCACCACACCCAATGCCTGTTGACCTCTGCCTCCCTCTAGCCTCTTGGTGCAAAAGGCAGGCAGGGGTGTTCTACTGTCCACTGTTGCATCTCCAAACTAGCACAGTGAACTAGGCACATTGGGTACTTCATAACAAAGGAATGAGGTAAAGAAGAGATGACTAAATGAATTTTAAATTAATCACCCACTTTCACTTGTAGCCCCCTCCAAGAGTCAGCCTTCTCTATATAGCCAGACTAGTGTGAAGCAAGTGCCAATCACTCTTCAGGGCAGCTCACTATCTCCAAAGCCAGCAGGCAGTTCCCTTCCAGGAGGCCTCTAGCCCCTTCCAGCTAAAATAAGAGGGAGGAAGCTAATATTTTAGTTTTCAATTAGCAATAATCGCGCCTCGGATAAACCTCATTGGCTACGATACTGCCACTGCGCAAAGCTGGAAGCTAATATTTTATAGATAAGTTGCTATGGACAGCACTGAAACGTACACAGCTGACTCTTACCAACATGGAGGTTAGGGGCGCAGACCTTCTGCACAGTCAAAAATCCACATATGTTTGATACCCCAAAAACTTAACTACTAATAGCCTACTGTTGACCATGGCCTCTCGGATAACATAGATGAACACATTTTGTATGTTACAGTATTACATACTGTATTCTTACAATAAGGTAAGCTAGAGAAAAGAATATGTTATTAAGAGAATTGTAAGAAAGTGGGGCGCCTAGGTGGCTCAGTCAGTTAAGTGTGACTTAACTCATCTCATGATTTAAGTCATTCATCTCGTGGTTCCTGAGATGAAGCCCTCCCCCCGTTCAGCTCCCCCCCCCATCAGGCTCTGTGCTGGGATTCTCACTCTTCCTCTTTCTCTGCCCCTACCCCCAACGTGTGCATGCGTGCATGATAAATAAACTTAAAATAAACTTGAAAAAAACTGAAAGAAAGAGAAAATACATTTACAATACTGTACTATATTTATAAAAAAAAATCTGTGTGTAAGTGGACCCAATTATTTCAAACCTGTGTTGTTCAAGGTCAACTGTAAAAGGCTTTCCATGAAGCTTTATTAAATGAAGGTACAAAGCAGGAGAATCCAGTTCCTAGACAGTAACTACTCTCCTTCCGGTATGGTTAGGAAAGGTTCTGAACCAGGTGGACATAAAGGGAAGTCACTATCCTATGAGTTTGAATTATATGAAACTGTTATTTTAGTAGGTCAAAGGCAAGCAAATATCATCATCATATAGTTCAACCTATTACAGGTTTAAATGTGCTGCTGCCTCATTACTAGAAACAAATTGAGGTTGAATCCTGCTGATAACAACAAAGCCTGAATGACATTCCAGGCCATTAGCCACCTCTGGGGACTGAAGTGGACACAATGGCCCCAGGACTGCCCAGGTCAGTTCTTCCCAAGTGCATTCTAAGGCTCTTCAGTCTCACAAGACATTTTATGGGGAAAGAAGAAA